TTCCCATTAGTGAAAGCTATGGCAGCAGCAGTTGTATATAGGTGAGCTCCACTGAGGAGAGAAGTCACATCTCAGTTATTGCATGAGGTACAAAAACAACTAAGACTAAGAAATGGGATGAAAAATGACAAAGGAGCACTATGAAGAGATAGAAACAGAAGGAAAGGGAGCAGTTATTGAGATGGCTAGAGGGGAAGGGACAGATGGAGAGGAAGGCAGAGGATAGGGAGAGTAAAGGCTTTGTTACACTAAATGGGTGCCAACTGGAAAACTGACAGGGCTATTTGAACCACCGGGGCAAGTTTGAGTTTGTTGGGCAAATATGGGGCTCTGAAAGTGAAAGGCTTTGCATCTTAAGACACTGGCCGTTCACTTTGACTCCAGTCAAAATCCAAACAGAGTTTTCAAGCTTGTCTGACCGCATCCGGCCCAGGTTTGAGCAGTATGAATCAACAAGACTGAAATCTTATATCCTTCTTAACAGAGTTTGGTGTTTCAGCTTAAAAAGAAGAAACAAACATGTCACTTTTAACAACAGAAGTTTGTGAAAGAATCCTTGATCAGTTCTGCATGAGTGGTTGGTGGGAGAGTAAAACTTTTTTTTTTGATTTGAAGCAAAAAAAGATGCATTGATCGTGTGTATGTCAGCTTTTGTAACTTGTAAAACCACTGTGACAAAAACCTTCTTATGGTTTGTTTAAAAAAAAAATTGTTAGCACTCAGAAATACAAATGCTTTGATTTTGTACCACTCTGATTCTGGGAATGCCAATTTATACATGCATGTGGGATGTGTGAAGACGTATTCTGTTGTCAAATTATTATAGTCAGTGATTTAAGTAAATCTGTCGCTGCTCCATTTATTGTCATCATTACTGCTTCCTCTCAGTAGACAGCTGGTACAGGGATAAAAATCCAACTGTTTTTCCCCCTCATTTATTTGCAAAGTAGTAACAGAAACCCAGGAGAGAAAGTTCTGGCAACGTTCGATCCTCGAGCAGCAGGGCCACTAATGTAGTTCCTGTGATTTGCACTCTGAGCCCAAATAGTTGTACGATTTTGTAACCAGAGTTTAGACAAGAACAGCAGAAGAAAACACAAAAGCAAGTGCTTGAGAACTGTGGTTGACTGTTTGACTGACCATCAAATCTGCCAACATAAGGTCACTGTGTATTTCTGGCGATAGTCTTTTACCATATGAAACACCCGTTTATTTCTAATCTTTTTTTGATACAGTAAAGCAGCTGTGCGACATAAGAGCAAGGAAAAGTAATTGAAGCTGGTTTCCCAAAATGTGTTGTGTTGGTGGTGAGTGTTTGTGGGTGTCTGACGGGGTGAGAACAAATTCTCAGCTCCATTCATTTATCTGGAACTCAAACTGTTTGCATGCTGATAACATTCTGCAGCCCACACGGCTGCACGGGGGAAGAACAACATTTTGCTTTCAACACACATTCCTTGAGGTGTGAGTTTACTTTGCATGAGTGTTGTGAGTTATAGCAAAGGATGAGAGTTGTTTTTTTTTTTTTTTTTTACTCATATCTGTAGAGAATGAATGTTTTTTTTTTTTTTTAATTTGCATATGTCATACAGGTTTTGATGGCACCTTGACAGGCGTTTTGGGAGGAGGAACACAAGGTGCATGTTTTCAAGTGATCAAACATGGTATGTCATGTGTGAAATACATTATAAAAATCTTTGGATTATAGTTGAACAGTTATGTCTGTGCATGAGAAACCTAGTGAATGACAATACAATAAACACAAGCCCACGCAGCGTGGCTTAAAAAGTACACTGACTACGGAAATATAAACATGACAATACAATAATCTTGCAATAAATACTACCTAAATAACTACATAAAATGTTCAGTTGAGCTTAAACTGCCATTTAGATTAGACTCATTGCATGATTTAACTTTACGATAAGATAACCATGGTGGTCTTTGTGCTCTGAACCGCATTACATTGGCGAGAATTTTAAATTCTGTCAGCCTCATTTACAAATATGGAGGAATCTGAAGCATCTCTAAGTGAAACTGAATGAAAAGCAGCAGTTTGTGATGTTTGTTGTTAGCTACAGGACTGGATACAGATGCAAGACAGAGAATGGATGAAGGAGAAAACGACCAGAGGAAAAGAAGAGCTCAGCTAATTGGACATAGACTAACAGAAGAAAAGAATGTGAAGGAAGGACGCACTTTGATTAACTTAATTACTAGAAACTGTAAGAAGGGATAGGACAGAAAGATGAAAGAGGGTAAAGAAAAACCAAGCAGACACAGATATGCGGCAAATGTTCAACCCATTTCCAGCAGCTGCAACTTGTGAAGGTACTTGCTCAGGTTTTAGAAAAGGGTTAGAAGTTTGAAAGGTCCAGGATGCTGGGCAGTGGCTGGAAATTGTGTATTTACTGTTTGCTCCTTGCATCTCATAAAAGGGCTAGCACACATTTGTACTGGGAATAACTGGGAGCTGGACAACACAGTCTTGGAACTACAGACTTCCCTGTTTGACAGTTTAATGCATTAACAAAAGGTGGCAGCCGTTGTAGCACCACTGGACAAAAGCATAAAACTTACCATGTTTACACTGTAAGCATAGCGTGTGCAGCACATAACATCACAGGGGGCTCATGCTCGTGTCTATACTGGGCATGTGTTCATTCATGCGTAGGAAGCGCCTGGTGTACAAAAACACAGAGGAGCCTACAGAAACACTTCAGAAAAAGGAAGACTATAGTCCAAAACGCAGACAAATAATAGACCATGAGGGAATTACAAATTACTGGCTACAAGTATATGTACACTATGTCTCAAACATGACTGACTGAGTCCGCTCCAATATGGGACTGTGTTTCTAAATAAGGATCAGAATTGGATCGGCTTTATTCTGGCTGATAACAATCCTGTGAAATATGCCCAGATTGGTGCGGATACTGATTTGCACAGTGGGATCCAGCAGGATGTCTGAGTCCCTACAATGTATGGATGAAGTGATACTGGTACCGGCATCGTTGCTGATACTGCCCTCTAGTACTAAAGTCGTCTAATACTACACATCGACCTATAAAGGCACACATTACTTCAACTTCAGTGAGGATTTTCAGTGGTTTGCAGATATTTTTAGATGAGTGACGATGACAAAAGTAAAGCTGACTGCAAACTGCTCTCTATCTGTCAAGAGTGTAGTAAAGAAATACATCTCCACTTGGTTGGTTCAGTCCCCACATTGTGAGTAATGCCAGGTACACACACATCTAGATACATTAGATAACATAAGACAGAAAGAGACAGAGGGGGAAACGGTGAGCTGATCAGTTCTTCACTAATGGAGTTCTGCAGAGTCAGAGCTGTTTGGTCTCCTAATTGACTTCATGTCATCTGCATATCATTAGCATTCTGTTACCATGGGCAACAATATGCAGGGGAATCTGGCATATATATATGTGTGTGTTGTTGAGTGCACGCGCTTGTGTGCAGCTGGGATGAGTGCAGTGTAAATGCTTTTAGATAGACCCATTAATCATGTGCTTAACCTCATCAGAAGCTACAGACACACACACACACCCACATTCAAGCACACAGACATAAGCTAGATGAGAGGCATTGGGAGTCGTACAGAAAACGACAAACCGACTGAGGAAAAGAGATGGAGAAAAAAGAGAGAAGCATTATTGACAGCTGTCAGTAAGGGTGAATGTAGCTTACTAGAGAGTTAGTGTACCACTCTGTTTATTAAATCTCCAGCTCTTCCTTGGACTCTGAACCCCAGAGTCATCCACTGGATAAGTTTGATCTGTACCTCATGGTTAATAGAATAAACACCACAAAACTAAATTTGTTTAAGCTAAACCTTATGATGAATGAAAATGGTAATTAAATAAGAATGACGAATATACTGGAATTATAAAGCCATAAACTCCACAGCAGTTAACTTTTGCAACCTTTTTTGCATCTCTAAGGTTTTTATTGTTTTGGAGGCTGGCATGTGTCATGGAGCTATAATAAAACACAAATGTGGCTATAATGAGATTACTACGTGTGAGCTGGTACTTGAACCTAATAACTAGTGATATAATTTCTACAAACAGCAGTAAATGAGTTCACACTCTCCTGTCTCGTTTACAAAACGCATTTTAATCAGTGCGAACATGAGAGTTCGATGAGGGGAGAGGGAGGGACAGGGAGGGTTAGAGGACAACAGAGGAGAAGCGAGTGTGATGAATATTGACAAAGATAGGCCGTGATTATCAGAGAGAGAGAGAGAGGGAGGTGTAGATAGCTTGAGAGAACCAAAAAGTAGGGTAAAGTGAGGTACAGTAAGTGAAGGTAAATTACAAACTAATAAGGAGCCTGTTCTTCCAGCCTGATCTCATTCCTGCCAAGATGATGGAGAGAATGAAGAGATAAACAATGAGCAATAGGACACCCATCTAGAAATATAGACAATGTTTCTCAGCATGTGGTCCAAAGTAAATACTGTAACTTTTACAGACATCAATGATTATAGTGCATGTTACTTTGCATTGCCTCTGTCCCTAGTAAAAATACTTCCAAAAAACCAAACCGCCACAAGGGAAAAACCATTCAAATTATACGAGTATACACATATACTGTAAATGCAAATAATTTAATCTTAATGTTTTGGTCAGTTGGAACTGAAATATGAATGTATCTATTGTTCAGAACATGCTGAGCTCATATGCTTGTAATTGTATCCACTATCGCAATATCGTCTAATGTCAAGTCAATCTGTTTCTCAACCTTTGTCAGGCAGATCATATACCCTCTGTTTCTGTCTATCTCTGCTGTCACTCATAGCTACACTCCACTGATACACACTTGAATACACACAGAGCGCGTTGATGAATGGTTGTGAACTGGGAAATCGTCCTTAAGGTGTAGGAACTGTTCTGAGTCCTCTATGACAGTGACTATCCATCCTGATCAAGTGTCCTTCAGCAAAACACTGAGTTACTTCAAAGTCAGCTTTTAGAGTTACTCACAGGAAGATTACACAGACTAGAAATACAAAAGTGGAACATGTGCAGGCATATAATACAGGTTTGTTACTAAACTGCTCAAAAAAATTAAGGAAGCACTTAAATCATGAATGGATTATTCAAGTTTAAAACCTTTAATTAATGTACATTGTATCATTTGTTCAGAACAAAATGGCATAACCATGGTCAATAGAAACTAAAACAATTAACCCACGGAGGGCTGGATTAAAAATCACACTGAAAATCAAAGTGAGAAATTGAAATCACAGGCTCATCCAAGTTGCGTGAATTTCATCGCGGCAGCTTATAATGTGACTCAGAACACTGGGAATCCTGGACAGTATGGCGCTACTTGGTGACATCGAATGCACCGATACATAATGCCCCATAGGTGCTCATTTGGATTTAGATCAGGGGAACATGAAGGCCAGTCAATTGCATCAATACTTTCATCATCCAGGAACTGTTTACACACTCTAGCCACATGAGGCCAGGCATTGTCCTGCACCAGGAGGAAACCTAGGGTCCACTGCACCCAGTATAAGGTCTGACAGTCGCTCTGAGGACGTCATCCTGCTACCTCACAATAGTCAGGGTACCACTGGCTATGACACGGAGGTCTGTGTGGCCCACCAAGGATATGGCACCCCAGACCATCACTGATCCACCACCAAATCAGTCATGCTCAGTGATCTTACAGGCAGCATAACATTCACCACAGTGTCTCCAGACTTTTCCATACCTGTTACCTGTGCTCAGTGTGAACGTGCTCTCATCTGTGAACAGAACGAGGCCACATTAGCAGACCTGCCAATTCTGGTGTTCTCTGGCAAATGCCAGTCGAGCTGTACACTGCTGGGTTGTAAGTACAGGTCGTACTGGAGAATGTCGGGCCATCATGCCATGTTCATGGACTCTGTTTCTGACAGTTTACTCATTAAAATGCACACCAGTAGCTGCTGGAGGTCACATAGGGCCCTCACGGTGCTCCTCCTGTTCCTCCTTGCACAAAGGAGCAGATACTGGTCCTGCTGCTGGGTTGTTGCCCTTCTATGCCCCTGTCCAGCTCTCCTGGTGTAATGGCTGTTCTCCTGGAATCTCCTCTATGCTCTTGCAACTGCATGTATGGATGTGCCTTCTTGGAGTAACTGGACTTTATTTGGCTGCAGGTACTGCCTCATGCTACCAGTAGTGACAAGGACACTAGCAAAGCACAAACCTTGAGAAGAATCAGTCGGGAAGGATAAGGAGAGATCATTTGTTTCTGGCAATCACATAGAAAAACCATTCCCTTTTTGGGGATTGTCTTGCTTTTCCCTCTTCATTGCACCTGTTGTCACTTGCATTTGCAACAAAGCAGGTGAAAGTGATTCACAACCACTTGTACTTCTTAAATGGCCAGATTAATGTCCCTGAGGTTTAAATGACTCGGTGTTATACTATGATGACCAAGTGTTCCCTTAATTTTTCTGAGCAGTTTATATTGACCATGTGAGTTATGTGACATGTGTTGTACATGGATGTTAGGCTAATATGTGAGCATGAAGCATAAGATGATGTGTTATTTTGGTGTCATCTCATAAAAGGTGTTTTTTCTGTTTAGTGACAACTTTGCTGAGCAGGAGCTCAGCAGGAGGTTGAAGGAGAGAGAGAAAAACCTAAGAGAACAAGAGTGTGGAAGATGATAGGGGAAGCTAATAGAAATGAAAGTTCTACAAGAAGATGGATGCCATACAAAAGACTTAGCAATACAGAATTAAACATGAAAAAGAATGGCTGAGCATTCCTATCAAAGTGCCATGTTAAGGTTAAATGATGCTTGATGCATCATTTGTCCCCAAAGAGGGGTATCAGGCTATGTCATCATAAATCTTCAGGGCCCCATTACAAGCAGAACTGTTTTATGATCCTATCATAAAATGCACATTCAGTGATTTCATAGACACCATTACACTACGTGGGCAAAATGCAGGCCATGCTGTTAACTAAAACCCACAGGTATGGTTAAATATACCCAGTGGCAAAAGGGCAGTCCAAGCCCCCTTTTAGCTTGCAGTAACATAGATAGGGGACCCAAAGTGGTCCCATAGTAAATGAGATACAGGATATTCTGGGTCTACCCTGGCGCCTCTTTTGGCCATGCCCAGATAAACCTCCAATGGAAGGTGCCCAGCAGACACCCTAGTAAGATGCACAAAACACCTTAATTGGCTCATTTTGACACAAATGCAAACCCCCAGCAACAGTGCTGGGCTATGAAGCAAGTCTGGGATAGCGCCCTCGTTACTACAACTATTGCATTCATCACATGACACACACTGCCCCAAAAAGCATTTCTCCATAGGGAATCCCAGAAAAAAGAGCACCTATAAAATGGTGAATAAACTTTTCCCAGTGTTACAAACCCCATGAAATGACTCTTTTTATTATCAGAATTTGATTAATTGGGTCCAAAACCATTTGGAAAGTCTAGTTTAGCCATAGAGTATTTTTTTGTTTTATCCCATTCATGTGTATATGGAGCCAACCGGAAGTCAACTGGCTCATACAGCAGGATGCTCTGCTTGACGTAGGTTTGCATACATTATAGGCCCAAAATCACTGAACTGTGCAGAACATTCATGTAATTTTTATGGCTGAAATCTGGAACTATAGCTTTTTTTTTAATGGAGTGGTATGTGCCACTCAGCAACATTTATAGGAATTAATAAGCACCATCTAGCAATGCTCTATCCAGTCTTCTACAGAGAATGTTGCATTGTAGGTCCTTTATGATTTTGATGTTGCTAGGTTAGCAAATGTCTTCAAATCTGTTTATAGTGAATCTTTCAGTGAGTTATCTTGAGTTGGTTGGTCCTAAAGTGTTTTACACTTTAATAGGTTCAAGAGTCCAAATCTTTACTGTACAAAGGAACCAGATAAAAAAAAAATAAAAAAAAGTTCAGCAGACAGGAATTATGGAGACTTGTGGTATTTTAGAACTGTGGAAACATTTTTACTGAAGACATTATACCAGTAGTTGTCCATCAACATTTAAAGGTGAAACATGTATCTTTTCAGAATTAACCCCCTTAGCTAATCAGGTCAGAACGTTTTAATAATTTCACCAGCAGGAGCCTGCCTTCAGTCAGTACGAATGAAAGTATAAGGATAGAGAATGCTTGTGAACTTGATGGTGTTGGGGAAGGCTAAAGAGGGATGCACCACTCTTGGGCATTGAAAGAACCCCAGCAGGAACAGAAGAATAGAGAGGAAAAAGGGCTGTGTTCTGTCAGACAAGTCCTAAAGCCTCTGTGGCTGTGTGGTAATTTGCTGATTTTTCTTTCCCCTGTGTTGTTGGTAAAAAGAAAGTTTCCTTTAAACATCACAGACAGCATTAGGATAACTTGATGTCTTCATATCTGCTTGTGTGTTTGAGTGAGTGCATGCAAGTATGCACCACTTGGCAATGCCAAGTTAAGGTTGTAGGTCTTCAAATTAACACACAGACACCTGTTTGCACATTGAGAGAGCAAAGTAGGCTGAATTTCTAGGTGCTGAACACACATGCACAGGCTGACTGAGTGAGGCTTAATGAATGCCTTCATATCAAAAGCACACAGCTGTCACACTTCAAAGTAAAGTAGAGACCCGAGGCACACAGCACAGCATAGAACTCACTATCTCAGCTTACACACAAACACAGAGATGTCTGAGGACAGTCTGTAAAACTTTCATTTGTTACCCTAAATGTGACCCCCACCATGTGGCCTTTTGAGTTACAAAAATCTATTAGATTGTGTTTTCTTAATTAAAGATTTGTCGATAAGACTGTGAAATTTAGAAGAATGTAAAGAAATGTGGACCAGATCTTTACCCAATAAAGTCATGTTGAGAATGTTATTAATGTGTATTGAAATACTTTCATAAAGATTAATGTCTCTACATTTTTACCTTTACCGGTAGGTGTTTCAGTAGCAGCAGTATGGCAGTGGAACAGTGGGCTAAGCAAGGGAGGTTCAC